ATACCATGATATCATGGTATTTTTTTATTTATTGCTAAAGATTATACCGTCAGAATCTCATACCGGCCCAAGCTTGATCTCAACTTTCAGGCGGAGCCACACGCACACACGCGCACACACACACACACACACACACACACACACACACACGCACGTAAAACACGCATCAAATAATAAACAAGCGGCCAGGTAAGGTAGCTGGGAGGCTCTGACTTCACATTTTCCGAGCCGGGCATGCAGGAAGGCTCGGTAACAGGCGGGTTAAAGACGAGCCTCTGGCACATCATCGAGGCTGGAGAGAGAGACGGAGACTGAGAGGAGACCAGGCTCTGAAAACATTAGGTCACCGGTTCTGATTCTCTCCGGGACTTCGCCCCGCAGCCCCGAGCTCCTGGAGCTCCGGAGTCCAACAACCATCGGGCCGGGATGTCAATAAAAAGCAGCAGAGTCAGTCGGTGAAATACAGCAGCGGAGCTTAGCTGCCCATCTGAAGTAGCCACAGCCTGGCTCTAAATAAACGGGCTGGAGAGGGGGAGGAGGGGGCAACCCGAACACACACAAATACACACGCACCAACGCAAATGATAAAGGGCAGTCACCCTCCCGGTTCTGGTTTTGTGTCGGGGGGTTTCTGATACTCACACTGTTGTGGTCGTAGCGGCAGCTCCGCGCGTCGCTTCTGCTGCACGAAGCGAAAAATGGGTTCAGAGCTCCTCTCTCCCTCCTTACCTCCCCCCTCGCTCTCCCCCTCTCTCTCCGAACAACTTCAAACATCCGCGGCCAAACAGCGACAAGATAAACCGCGGTGGCAACTTACTTGCTCGGCTTCCTTCCGCCTTGCCGGCCACGGGAAGAAGGCAGCGTCGACCGAAAGGAGGAGGACGTAGCCGCCGGACTGGTGCGGTGGCGGAGCTCGGTGAACTGGGAGAGCTGGGGAGTGGAGCGGAGCGGAGAGGACGGTCGGTGGTGCTGCCTGCGAGATGTTCTCTGCCCGTGCGCGCGCGTGCGTGTATGTGTGTTCTTCCTTGTTGGGCTTACACCGATTTGCAGAAACTTGATCTAAAATAGTCGAGTGAGATTCTGCAAAAATTGCTATCGATCATGTAAAGAAGCCATTATCACCTGTAACGAGTAAGGAGGGTGTGGGCCCCTGGGCTACAGCTACTTTTGGAGGCCAAATTAATCAATTTCAATACTCTCTATTAATTTTAAGTTTTTTTAGTCACACACAGTAGATCTGCTCTCACACTCTAAAAACTGCTGGGTTAAAAACAACCATACAGTTGTGTCTGTAAATTACATGGATTTTCCACCATTTTGCATTTATTCAGACGTATAAAAATTTTGTAAACACCCACATCTGATCCAACCAGCCACATTTGCCAATCACAACACCTCAACACACATGCACACAGACACGCAAACTATTGGCCAAGAAACTGCACCCTTATGTACCACATACAACACTGTAGTCTGAGTCATAATACAATCATTTTAAAATGGCAGAACGATGTGTTATTATTTTAGGAAACCACTCTCATTGTTTGGTGCAAACTAAAGTTAGGTTAACAATCTTCTTACCAGCTTACCTTTACTTATTATACCTAAAAACATGTCTAATTTGGTCGTCTTAAAACAGTAGTTTAAGAATAATATGGCTTATCTTCAWCAAAGGTTTGGACTAACCAACCCAGCCTATGACTCAACGGCTTTAGCAGGCAATTGAGTTTTCAAAATAAACCTAGCAGTTTTTAATCTGTAGCTTTTTCTGCTTTGTCACTTTACTTTTTTAATTAGCCACTGCTGCACAAACCACAAGTAAATCTGAACTGTTCCCTTTTTTTAATTGCTTCTCCATTTATGAAAAATAAAAAAAAGTTTTCTTGTAGAGTGTGAAAATACAGAATAATTACATATACACTGCATCAGCACTTTCCAAAGCAAAAAGAATACTTACAAACTCATACATGTCAACCCATTCAGACAGTTACCTGTGACCCTCAAAAATCTGTCATTTATACAAAAAATCTGGAATAATCATGCAGGGAGGTGGGGGTTGCAGGGGGACAGTCGGACTCAGGGAAAGACAGAACATGGGGCGGAGATAATGGTCTGCAGCGTCGAGGAGCAGGGAAGGAGGATGGAGAGGTGGGGAATTTATTTCTAGCAGCAGAGTGAGTTGAGAGATGGTTAATTTTGTTTGTTTTATTATGGGCTTGTACTTCTTTGGAAATGAGTCAAAATTAGGTGCTTAGAAAACAGTGATTGACAACAATAAGAATAGAGTGGGGTCTCTAAAACACCTGGGTTTTGGGAATTCACCTTTGCAAACTTTGGAAAGTCCAGCCTTGGTGGCATCCTATTGTGAGCAGTTTGTCATGCTCTGAATAACTACTTTTTATTTTCTACTTTAATTATTTGCATTAGAAAACAGAAGGGATTTTAGGCAAAGTTTCTAGGCAAAAACAAAGTTCTTTTGGCTGCTCTTTTCAAGGGGTACCACAGCGAGTGAACTCACAGGAAAGATAAGTGGTGGGCACCAGCCCGCTATAGCGCAAATCCGCTAATTGCGGACCTAAATATTTCATTTGTGCATTAGCGGACTTACTAATTATTATAATTCATAAGCAGATTTGTGCTTTCTAAAATGAAAATGCAGTACCACTAATAACTAATTATCTACCAGTCATCATTATCTTAAACAGCGGAAGGTATGGCTGTCAATGAATCACAACACACGTGATCTGTCCAACAGCACCCCTCCCAAATAAACACACTTCTTGGGAAGATATACATCCTTCCTGACTGTCGCTTTGAGCCACTGTTCTGATTTCCCACAATGCTTTGTGTCTGCTTACGTAGCAGGAAGGCAACAGCAAAAACAGTAAACATTTCTAATCCATACTCAAATTTTGTACGTATTGGTTTATTTTACTTTACAATCGGAGCTCCTTTAAAAAAAATAAATAAAAAAAAGGTTTAAACGCTGGAGCTCAAAAGCAATCGGATAACGGTGTTAGAGACTCAAATGATTTAAAGATGCTATGCTGGTGAAGACTGGCATCTAGTGGTCAACTGGAGCAACTACATGGAAAACGTCCTAATCCAGGTGGGAAAAAAAATCAAAAAGAAAAAATAAGTAGGTCCTCTAGATGGGTTCTTCTTTAGTGAAAAGTTTCGTCTCTCCTCCAAGAGACTTCAGTCTGATGAGTTTTAGGTGAACTGGGAAACTTTTAAATCCAACAGAAACATGAAAAACTTTAAAATCTAAGCTCTTATTTTGAAGGGAAGATACTAGTTTCCTGTTCCCCGTGCTTTCATTTCCCGTCAGTCCGTCATGTATCCAGAACGCATCGCTTCAGTTTTCAAATAAACAGTTTTAAAATTACTATATTGATGCTTATTTAATGAAAAATCTACAACAAAAGAAAAAGACAAAGAAGCAGCCGAACTAGAAAGCCTCAACAACGTTTTAATTTTTACACCATGAGCAAAAGTTCTGTTACAGGAAATCAGATCCCCAGCAATCAGCGGTTGTAGTATTAAGCTGTACAAGGGTTCATACACCGCTAGTTGGCAGTATTATGCATATTGTGAATTGTCAGCTAGTAAGTGTCAAATTGAACATGTGCTTTAAAATCAGCTTCCGCTAATTTTTCTATGACATAAGCATTATTGAAGTTGCGGAACTAAATATTTTCGTAAGCGCTTTAGAAATTGCAGAGCTAATTTTTGGATTAGCGCTGCCCAGCACTGTGAAAGATAATTTAATTTGTATGAGTTACTGTTTGAAGTGTTGGACCTAAATATTTACATAAGTGCTTTAGAAACTGCGGAGCTAATTTTTGGATTAGCGCTGCCCAGCACTGATGGTCATTTAAAATTAATGTTCTTTCAAATCTTTGCTGAACAGCTGAGGGCCAAACAAGGGTTCATTTTATTTATTTATTACGCTTCTCCACTTTTGCATAGTACAGTTA